GTCCTGAGACGTCGGTAACCTGTTCCCACCGAACAGCTTCTTCGATGCGTTACTCAAGGCCCTGTCGAGGGCATTCGTAGCCGCACGCGACGCAGCGCTGGTGGGCGAAGACGACAAGGGAGGACTGTTGAAATTCGGCAGCGGAGGGAAGATGATGTCAGACTTGGATACGGCACGTTCGCGCCCACGTCAACCAGAGGCGAAAGCGGCGCTCTGCGATCGGCGCTTCTGTGCAGGCAGAGGGTTACGTCTCAAGCCGCTGATCTCTGTTACTCCGTCAGCAGCCTGACAGGGATACTGCGATCAGGAATTCCTTACTGGGAGGGAAGAAGACCTTGGGATCCAACACTTCCACAGGAATCTGACGATCGGCCTCAGCTGTGGACGTAGGCTGGACAGTCTCCTCGCTCGGCCATGGTTCATCCGACTGAGTCCGCCTAGTATGCACAGACGACAAAGACGAGCGTGTCTTGGACGGGCGTGGAAATTTCGACTTCGCGAGCGCGGTGCTCCCGAAGAACTCCTCGAAATTACAGCGCTCGATAACCTCGCGCTTGAGCAGGCGCCGGGTGAGCTCTTTGACGTCGGGGGGGGACGGGCTTCAGATCGTCGGACTGCTTGCTGGGATCCTCGGCGGGGAACTCGATCCCTTTTGACTGCTCGATCTTTTTCAGCAGTTCGACATGGTTGTTGGCGTGGAAGGGGGAGTGCCGACCGCCATTTCGTACAGGACTGCACCGACGGACCGTAGGTCGACGCGGGCGTCGTCGTGCTTGTAACTCAAAATTTCTGGTGCCATCTACAATCTACGGAGAAATTAGTCTTGTGTTACCTGCTATCGAAGGCATGTCGCACGGTGAGTCGCAACGCGTCTCCGCCGTCATCGCGATGGGTAACGAGCGAGGGAAGCCAAAGTCAGCGATCTGAAGGATGGGGACACCTAGCGGATGTCCCCTGGCTAACTCCCCTGGACTAGCAGACTTAAGCAGCAAGTTCTGCGGCTTGATATCTCGAGGGATGAGATTCCTATGTCGGAGTTATTTGAGCGCGCGGGCTGCACTTTGTCACATCACATGCAAGATGTTTTTGGACGGAGAAGGACGTACCGAGTTGTCTCAAGAAACTACGGACGACGATCCCATCCAATCCACATGTCCGCGGGTAAGGGTAGTACTGTGGAGGCATACCTGGACCTCGGATGCACTCCAGTCCCTCGACTCTACCCCGCTTGCGCATGTAGTTTTTCAAATCGTCCCCGGCGCAGTACTCCATAATCAGAAAGATGTTGTGTTCCGCATTCTAGTAGACGCATTAAATAGGACAAGCTGTAGGGACAGAGTACATACGATGATGTCAATAAGCTTCGTGATGTGACGGGGTGTGCCTTTGACGATGTCTATCTCGCTCTGTAAGTAATCCAGCAGTTTCTGATTCAGACCGCTCCGCTTGATAGTCTTGATAGCGACGTCCCGATGTGCTTCTGGCCGAACGGTCATGCTTCGTAGTCCCGCTCTCAATATCCTCACTCACCGGATGATAGCCCTTGTACACGATCGCAAAGCTCCCTTTCCCTAGACTACTCACCATCACATACGGCTTCACTTCCTCACTATTAGCAGCGCTCACAGCCGCTGGCATGCTGCATGTAGTCTCGTTCTTGATTGTATTCGGTGATACAGTTGCGATCCACTCAGACCGAATATCACAGCAAATGTCTTCTTAATGCGATGCCTAAGTCGGACATTTAGTTTCGACAAGCCAGGCCCGCTGCGTCTGTCGAGCACGATACAAGCGTAGAGTAATCTGTGACGAGCGGCAGCCGGCAGCGACAATACAACAGTGGGCCAAGATCTGATGCCGATTGTAAGAGGCGCACGGTATGCGGGGTCCTTGGGGTAGCTCCTCGTATACCTCTTTGTCCTTAGCCTTTGGTAGCAACTATTTACACAACGTGCACTTGAAGTTCTTCTCTAAACCTTCATCCACATATAATACAGCACTACGAATCAAAGAAATGAGCCGTTTCAACTGGCAGCCATCCTGACCAGTGTGACGGAGACGCGACGTTAACGCGACGCGACTCGGACGCGACTCGCCACACAAGCCTGAATATGGTGGCGTGTGGCCTATAAGCAAATTTATCGTACATCTGACTCCCACTATATCTTGCCTTACGATTATCAACCTCCCGGGTACGTTCATGTCCGTCGACTCTGTCAAGACGAAGTCGGTAGCAGAAACTTGAGTACCTTTTCTTGACGAGTTGTGTGAAAGTAAGCCCTCCGCTACCACATTCTACCACTCTCCATGCCTGACCTAAATTGCCATAGCCTCACGGACAGTCATCTCGAAATCAGTTTTCCGCCGGTGTGAGCCTCGAATTCGTATAAAATAACAGTGCTAGAATGGGAATGCCAAAACAGATGAATCGAATGAAGGATCTTAGAGTCTGGTCAAACGAGGTGAGATTCCTGCAGTGGATTGTTCGCGATAACCATTGAAAACTCCGGCGCTTCAACCACTGTCAGGCACGCTGGGTGCTGACGCCTGATGCCAACCATTAGGAGTTGGACCTACTTACAGGGCGTTCCACGCCTCCTCTTGCATGCGCAGGCGTCCACTGACGCAGATATTCGCATGCCAACGGGCTGGGACATGTTATGGCCGCGCCTAAATATCTCTCGTTGCCGCTGGAGGACCATACATAGGCGAGTTTCGAATGCGGCGGCAACCAAACGTCATGGCTAGGTCAAACAATTAGTGGTCCTGTCAGTACTCGCCCTCGGTATTCTCCTCCAGCCACTCATGCGATGTGAGCATTGATCATGGGATTCGTAAATGCCAAGGACCATCCGCATGGACCGCACTGACAGAATCAAGATGGATTAATTTCAATACACACCGGGACTATAGCGCCAGCGATTTTTCGTGCTCACCAGAACTCTGTACAGCCTTGCTCGGACTTCCATACCTTTGTGCCATCTCTTCGCGAGTCGATGTAAGTCGTGCTTTGTACATATGCGGGCAGCCAGTTGAGACTCACCTATATCTGACTGTAGAAGAAGCACATGGCAATGGGGCAGACACCATCCATATCCGAGACAACGAAGCACTTCTGGGCGGGTTGCTGCATGATTCAAAACAGAATCTCTTCCAGTACGCGCGAGGCGGCGCCCTGCGACGCGCTGGTACATTGTTGTGGTCTCCCCACACGATATCAGGACAAAACGGGATACATCAATATCAGGCAGTCGCGCACCAGGGCGAAGGAGGGATTGATGTATCGCATTCATGCACAGGGCGAAACGAGGCGTCGGTGTCTCGCATTCACGCACCATGGCGAAACGAGACATGGACGTCGCGCACCAGGACAATACATCAAGGGAATGGAACGCCGCCCGGCTCATGCAGCTCGGGTAGGCCAAGGTATTCACCAGAATCTAGGCAGGCGAACAGAGCGCGCTACGTCAAAGCTTCACCTCCTAAGCCCGGGACCTCCATTACGTTTATGCGCCAACGCTGCGCATCGACGTGGCTGCACAATGAACAAACAGACGCACCAAGAATTACACACCATCTCATACCGCATGTCGCCTCGCAAGTTATGTGAAATCTTCTCCCGAGCAACACTGAGTTTCCACCACCTCCCATCCACAGACGCCCCGATACACCCGGAATACGGCTTCGCCTCCCGTGATATCCTTAACCTCATAAACACTACCGCATCCAAGGAACTTCGCGATCATGGAAAGACCACTCTGCCACTGAGGATACTGCGCAACGACACGGCGGGCCCTCCACGACAGCGAAGCACTCCAGGCCTACTAGTACGATTCGCGCCAGGCATGGTCCAGGAAACGCTCGAGACAAACGGCTAAGGAGGCGGACTGCTGCAGTAACCGTTGAGCTAAAAAAAAGAACGAAGATAGAAAAGGTGACCCTTCCTCGCGAGTCGACGCGCATGCGCAAGGCTCGCGTTTACGGCTTCAAGATGACCCGCCATCGGATAGGACCCCGATCATTCCAACTCGCGCTCAGCGCCTACGATGGTTTCAATAGACTTTGCGAGAAGGCAGCTGCTATTATAACGATAAAAATTACGTTTATTATGTGTTTGATACACATAGAGTACGCCCGTTGACGACTTTATCAACCTTAGCTCGTGACTTCGCAGTTGCCGGTGACGTGTAGAGAGCGTCGCCTACGGGACATGCTAGACAGAATACCACTGGATTTTCTGGATATTGTCACTCTTCAGGAGTTCTGCAAAACGTGAGTTCCACGCTTCATCTATTCATCCCTCTTCCACCGACAGGATCTGAAGACGGGTGATGAATAGCAGCTCCCCTGATCCCGCCATATCTCCGCAAAAGATTGCGAACTGGATTGATTGGCTGTTGTTGGTAGGATCAACTCTTCACAATTGAACAACACGAAAACAGACACAATGCCCAGGTTCCTCTTCTCCCAATACTACTGCCACAAAATGTAAGTCAATATGTATAGTAGTATGAAAGGCAATGCCTGAAAGGGGAGTTGTGCGGAGGGATTTGCGTGCCACATAGCGTGACCTCCGGTGCAATCTTGCCAAACCCCCGCCTTGAAAAATAAGCTCAGCGGTAGGTATATTTTTCGTCAATTACTATTAACGCTGCCACTGCTGTAGAATACATTTGACTGTAGAAGACCGTGGCATATTGTATGCGTCGAGAATGTGGCTGAGATCTGAGATATGTGATTATCCCTTGGCCATCGAAGTCGGAGTTTGTCAAAGTGGTCACCCGCTTGGGTGCTTTCAACCACCAGTCCCTTCCTTGCAACTAACGATAAATTGCTCTTCTGGAACTCCATGTCCACTTCATGCGCCACAACCTATTATTCTCAAGCTTGCGGGACGACACTTGACGAGAACAATTCCTTCGATCGCGATAACGCATGGTCCTGCTTTCAAGATGTGGCATTTATGATGGAAGAGGTGAATATATAAATACCCTCACTGTACGCCTTCTTACTGCGCTTCGCTTCTCAACCACTGCAGACCCAGATACAAGTCAACCAAAGTTATCAGTGGCTCGACTGTAGTGACTGTGGCTCGAGTGGGCATCAGAGTATGGTAGGTACTACAGCTACTCATCACAGTTGTCGTACACGACGCGTCCATCTTAAACCAAATGACTAACTGCATACCTACAGCCTGTTACACGCTTGCAGTTGTTTTCGATACCTCCCGTTTATGTTCCGGGCTCGATGTATGGTGCCACAGCAGGCGGCAGCCTCGGCAGCGAAGGATCGCAGAACACAGACTGCGACGCCATCGCTGACGAGGGATGGCCGGAACTGCAAGGTGCAGAGCTCTCGAAATGCTCGACATTGGAGGGAGCACTAGACCAGAAGCATATAGCCCAGGTGCGAGGGTTCACTAAACCTGTTTGCACGGGTTGAGTA